TTGATTTGATGTTAGAATTCATAACTAATTCAATAGATGTAATGAATTAGGTCCCAAATAAAATCTCCAAATTAGATACCTTTACCATTGCTCATTTTTTTTATTTTATTTTATTCTTTTTTTTTCTTTTTATTTTTTTAAAATATTTTTTTGGGGAGGGGAGGGGAGAATGAGACTTGAACCTTTAATCTCAAGAAGACAAAGTCTTCACAAGGCAAGGAGTATCATTCGACTAAAGGCTAATTGGTCACCATTGCTCATTGAATATTAGTAATTTCAATTGTAAAAGATGAAAAGGTTTGGAATAACACCTTGGTAGATAGTAACAAAGATGATAAATCTTAGATTTTATTTAATTACTAATTGTTCATGCATTGACATTTTAAAAAAAATTCACAATCGTAACTCATTAGATTTTAAATTTTTAACTGTAGTGACTCATTTAAATTTTATTTTTAACTAGAGTAATTCAACACATACATTAAATAAAAAACATGTTTTACACAGGACACAATAATTTATTGATATTTTATACTAGTACTAGTTATTATTCGTGTCTAAAGACACGGAGTAATAAAAAAAATTATTAATCATAAACATATTTGTATTTACACCCAAAATCAAATTACAAACATATAGGATAGAGAAATAAATTTAAGCATCAATTGTAGTGGAGTGAGCAATGGTAGTGGTGGAGGGTGACAATAAAGGTGGTGGGAGACGGTGATGGGTAGTGACGACCGTGATGGTTATGGCGGCCGTGGGTGACAACGGTGATGGTGATGGTGAGTTTGGGGTAACGATGGTGGTAGTGGCATCCATGGGTGACAATAGTGTTGGTGGTAGGTGTGGGTGACAATGATAGTGGTTGGCAGTGGTGGTAGTGGGGCGACGACAGCGATGATGGATTGTGGTGGGTATGAGTGGTGCTTGTGGGCGACGGTGGTGGGCGATTATGGTGGTGGTGATAGGTGTGGTGTGGTGTGGGGGCTCAATGATAGTGGGTGGTGATGGTGGTAGACGACAAAGGTGGTGGTGGGCAACGATGGGGGTGGTGGATAGTGGCGATGGGCAACGGTGGTGGTGGAATGATGGTAGTAGTGACAATAAATATAAAAATAAGATAATGATGGTGGGGTGGCGGCGATGATAGTAATCGATGGTGGTGGTGGTTATTGTGGCAGAGGTGGCAGTAGTGATGATAGTGGTGATGGCAGTGGGAGTGGTGGTGGGGCGATAGTGGGCGGTAGTGGTGGGGGTATGGCAGCGATGGTGAATTGTTTTGTAGAAAAATGATTTTAAAGAAATATAAGTTATTTTTTTTTACTTTTATTTATTTAAGTGGTAAAATTACTTTTAACTTATTTGAAAGTAATAAAAATAAGTTATACAAAATACTACTTTTAAAAAAAAAAATACTTATGAGAAGTCAGAAATTTTAGAAGCACTTTTGAAAAATCACTTTAAAAAAACACTGAGAGCCTATTTTTTCTATTAAATTTGAGGAGTTAATATTAGTCGTCAAATTTTAAAGTAAAATTTAAAATGATTTCAATCACAAAAAATAGTTTTTTCACTTACATTGTCATGTGTTTTTTATAATAAAATACAACACAAAAAATAAAAGTCATTTTTTATGTTGTATTTTATTATAAAAAACACATGACAATGTAAGTGAAAAAACTTTTCTTTCTTTTCTTTTCTTTTTTTTTTTTTAATTTAACAACACAAAATTTTGATGAATAAGAAAATAACGTGGTAAAGCATGTGTCATACTCTTTCCAACACAAAATAATTGTTTTATATATAGATTATTGAGATTGATATAAAGTTGAGGCATAAGGGAAAATGAAACTGCAATGCTTTTAGGACTAAACAGGAATTTTGATAAATAGTGAGCATTAACATTAGACAAAAAAATTAGGGTTAGTTGCACTGGAGGTTATTAAAATATGAAGTTATTTTAGTTTAGTTTCTAATATTTCAATTGTATTATTTTTCTAGTTATTGCCCGTGTCTAAATATATTATTCAAAAAAAAAAAATTACACTTGAAAGTAATGTATAATACAAAGTACCAATTAATAAAAACCCACTATTAAAAAAATGATAAAACAAACTCTAAACACACAACCCGTGAATAATATTAATCTGCATACACAATTTGTATAATCAAAATAGTAAATAAAACAAATTTTAATTTTTTTTAAAAAATTACTCACGCCACGATTTTTCATAATATAAACCTCTCTAAAATGCTCTACCACTATTAGAGATAATTTATTAACTTAATTTGCTAATCTAATTCACTATGACCTTTGGATTCATTGTAGACCTCATCAAACAGTGGCGGATTTAGTATCGGGGCAATGGTGGCAGCTGCCCCCACTAAAATTTTAAAAAAATTTGGAATTTAGGTGTAATTTTGAAAATTTCAAAAATTTCTTAAACTTGCCCTCACTGAAATTTTCATGAAGTATAGAATATATTAATATAATTTATAACCCTTAAAATCTAATTGTTGGAAGCTTCTTCTCATTTTTCACGCTTGGCAATTGCCCCCATTGAAATTTTAAAAAATTTTAGAATATAAGTGTAATTTTAAAAATTTCAAGAATTTTTTAAACTTACCTCACTGAAATTTTCTTAATTTTTTTAAAGTATAGAGTATATTAATATAACTTTAAACCCTTAAAAGCTAACTTTTGACAACTCTTTTTCACTCCTGCTTTTTTTTCGTAAGCCTTCGTCTTCTTCGTCCACACTTCAAGTCCAATCCATGCGTCTAGCCGCCAGCCCCTCTTCTTTCTATTATGTAATTTCTTTGTTAGTTCTGTTGGTATATTTATCAACAAATCAACCTATTAGATTCAATCATTGTGCAAATTAAATTTAAGGAAATCTTAGAAGATTATGCTGAAGCTAAGGAGAGGTAATCCATTAACCAAATTTTTTGATAGTAGTATTAGCACTAATCTAAAATCAGATTTTTTTTTATTAGAAAATTAATTTAACTTTTATAGAATTGATGGTTGTTTGGTGTATAATTTATGGACTTATGTAGGTTTTTTTTGTTTCATCTTGGGTCACCACTCAACTATTTTGGATTTTTGTTAAAGCCTATTTTTAGATTGGCTATCTGAGATTCTTGGGTAGTGCTATTTTTCTTCTCTAAGATTAAATTGCTTAATTGATTTCTTGAAATTCTAGTTTGGATTATATCTTGATTATGTGTAGTCCATTATCTCATTTGCTACGAACTTAATGACGAACTCTTAAACTTGAATCTAATTAGACAAATTTATTTTTCAATCAGCTATGAATAGGTTGTCCCCACTGAGACAAAATCCTGGCTCTGCCCCTGCCATCAAACATTGGAACTTAGTATTTATCTAATGATTCCTATGAAACCATATAATTATGTGAGTAAATTAGGTCAAATTTTGAAGTCTAAATAATATTACTCGAAAATATTTTACTTGAATTAAAAAGTTAGAATAAGTGAGACTTATTTACTCATTATCTAAACACTCAGTAGTCCTAAACTCAAGCTATTATGTCTCGTTCTCTTTATATTAAGAAACTAAAATTCTATATTACTCGCATTAATCCAAAAATTAAAGTTATATAACACAAAAAAATCATTCACTCACTTGATGAAATCATAGATGAAAAAAAAAAACTTTCATGAAATGCTAACAACAAATGTGTCACTCCAATTCATCGGTAATGAATTTAAAAATCGTCATTGTATAATCCAAAAGACAAATATTCAAATACTAAAGAAAATAAATTAGTTACCATAGAAAGAATGAATGAATTATAGTAAGCACAATTTGGGGAAGATATGTGTATGATTTGGTAAGAGATTTGCCTCTAAAAGGGTGGATATGAAAGTTTGAGAGTCGTGAATGAAATGTGGAAACAGAAGAACATTAATTTGGGGTAATTAAAAATGGAAGGTGTCTTAAGCAGGAAAACAAAATTCGTCCATCAATCAAAATTTTTGAGTGGATCTTGTTTTTTGTTTTTTTGGCTATTGAAAAAAAAAAGGATGGGACAAAGGAGAGTGCCCATAGAACACTCCGATAAGTCTTCACTGGTGGGATCACGAGGCTCTTGGTCGTACCCATTACTCCTCTCAGGAATGAACCTAACTAGGCTAATATAGCGGTCAATTACCGAACTCTAATGTGGACTACAAGACTTGAACCTCAAATCTCGAGGTGAGAAGTTCGACCGGTATCCCATTTGACCACTCTACTCGGTGGTTTTTTGAGTGGATCTGAGCTACCAAAAAAAAATGGAGACAAGATAGACATTTGGATATAACTCATCTTTGCTCAAAATTGATTTGATCCGTGAAATACTTAAGATAAATTTTGAGATTCAAATTCAACTCTATTATTATATAAATATTTTTATGCAATCACTCAAGCATACAACATCTAAACTATAAAAGATTTTGATTATAAACTTGTCATGTGATAAATAAATATGGGCAAAAATATAATTTGGATAGCTCTTGACCAAAATTTGGATAACTTTTAACTAAAAATATATAATTCAGGTTGACCTTTGACCAAAATTGAGAGGGAAATTTGGTTAACAAAAATTCAAATTATTATTTTGTCCATTTTAGGTATTGGTGATAAGTTTATAACAACTATCAGTAATTTAGAAGGCCAATAATACAATTAATCCAAAATATTATTTACACCTAATTTATTAACATAATCTAAAAAAAATAAAAAAGGAATGCTATTGAAACTTGATTTTGAAATTTAAGGCTTGTTACCACTAATTAAAATAAAGTACCAACTTTGATTAGGATTTGCTATGAATGCAATGATAGCAATAATATAATATGACCTAATTGGCCAAACTAGTTCACCATTCGGATTTGCTATGAATACTGGCCATGAATGCAATGATAACAACATATTCGAACGGCAACAAAGGCCAATAAAACCCTAGGGAGAACCAAAAAATTCCACCAAAATGGCCCAAGATTCAAAGCCACAACCATTCATTCCGCACGAAATCGTTGTGAAAATACTCTCAAGACTCCCCGTAAAGTCCCTGTTACAGTTGAGGTGCGTTTCCAAATTATGGCGTTCTTTAATTTCTAGCCCTCAATTCGCCAAAACCCATCTAGATGTATCAAGCAAAAACAAAGATTATGCTAAGCATAGGCTCATTTTCATCTCTGCTTGCTATCGTTATTGTCTCAAAACTTGTTCTCTTCAATCTATGTTGTATGAACCCTCTGTCACTGCTATTGATGTGGAATGTCCTATCAGTGAGTATTCGCTTGTGGGTTGTTGTAATGGATTAGTTTGTATTGCTGTCAATTATGAAAGCATATTTTTGTGGAACCCATCTACGAGGGAATCCAAGAAATTGACTGATTATGGCGTTACATTGAAAAATATCGATAGTATTGCGCTTGGATTTGGTTATGATGAGAGTAGTGATGATTATAAAGTGGTGGGGATTTTTGTAGATTGGTGTAATTGGGACTCGTATGAGAATGATGTCCAGGTTTATAGTTTAAGGACTGATACTTGGAAGAGGATCGAGCAATTTCCTGGTGGTACTTCTGTTGATTTTCGGGGTAAGCTTGCTAGTGGGGCACTCCATTGGGCATGGGGTAGTGATATGCAATCAACAGATTGGGTCATTGTTTCTCTCGACTTAGCCAAGGAGATGTCCAGGACGATAGCACAACCCAACTATGTAAATGATGAATTTTCTTCGATGTTAGGGGTTTTAGGAGAATGTCTTTGTATACTGCGTCAATATGGAAATTTTGCAGAGCTATGGGTGATGAAGGAATATGGAAAGAGCGACTCTTGGTCTAAAATAGCTACCATGTCATATTCGATGTTTCCGAAGTTGCGAAACCAGTATGATACACCAATTTGCATTTCAGAGGATGGTAAAATTTTGCTCAGTATGAGGAGAGAAGTAGGACTGTACAATCCAAAGGATAATACGGTGGAGTATCCTGAGGTTCATAACTCTGGTGCTTGTTTTGAACACATGACCTATGTTGAAAGCCTAGTTTCACCAAATGTGGACAAGGGGGCTGAGAGACAGCAACAATAACAAAGGAAAAAAAGGTGAGATCACATTGTTGATTACCCTTTCTTCTCTATCTAAGTTATTAGTATTAACTTTCTTACATTTCTATGTTCTTCTATCATGATATAAGCAATTGTGATCTTAGTAGGCACATAATTTTGTGCATACTATAATAAACGAAATTTGTTTTTATCTCCTATGTTTTGATTGTTATCTTGCTTGGAAAAATATTGTTCTAAAAAAAAAATGAGATCTTCTGAACTAATTAAAAAAGAAAAATGTTGTGATAGATTTTTTTTTTTTTTTTTTTTTGACTCAGGTAGGAAATTAGAGATGGGTAAGTGATTGACTATAACTCATTGCAGTTGTACTTTCATGATCCTTGTTTCATTCATTGTTGCGAGCTTGTTAAGAATTTGTAAAATATCTTTTGGATTTATGATATGAATAATATTTTTGACTCAATAGCAAATATTAAGTACAAAATTAAAACAAAGGCACATCAGTGGGTTATTTGTACACTTCACGTGTTTCTAGCAATTCACATGACATCATCATAGTATTGGTTGATGAACAACAATAGATTTAAAGTTTTCGGAGAGGTTTTAGAATCAAATGGGTTTAATTGGAGTAAAAGCAAAACGACTATGTGGTAAGGAAATTTAATACAAAGAGAACAGCAGGTCGACATATAGTAAAATTCGAAGATTAAGAGGCATCAAAGAGTGAATACTTTCTATATTTAGGGTCAGTTATCTATAGTGATGGTAAGATTGGTGACAATGTTACTCATAAAATTAAAGCTTGATGAACTGAGTGGAGAAATTAATGCATTTGCCCCAAGTTTAGATGGATGAAATTACCGTAAACCAGCCTGATCTCTCTCCCTTTCTCTAAGTTGTTCATTGGTTTCAAATGCCATATATAAAATATGAAACTTGAAATCGCTTTCCCTTTTGCCCTTTTTTTTTTCTAGAGCAAGAGTTGGGATTGACTACACCTTTGTTTCTCTCAGTCAAGAAAAAATTCAAGTAGAAATTTTGAGCCTTTCTTAGTGAGATTCATCAAAGGGTGAAACTTTGAATATTCTTCATCGGTCAAGTTTTCTTTTAGGCCAATTTTTGAGTGAAAGATTTCGTCTCGCACCAAATATGATTTTTTCTTTTTTACCTCGAGTTTTACTGCAAATATAATGAGAAGGTAAGTGTTGGTTTCTGGTGTTTAAGTGTATTTGTTATATTGTTTGATGGGAACAACTATTTTCGTTGTAGGTTTTGGAGTTATTCTGTTGTTCATAAGTTGTCTTAATGCTACTAACAATTATTGTCTGCTTAAAGAATTGGGTTTAAAGATTAAGAGCCTGGTGCAATGTGGCCAGATCTTGTTCCTTATGGGGGGTTGTATTTAATGTGACTAGCATCTATGGACCATCGTGGGAAAATGCTTGTTCTCTGTACTGGAGGGGAGCCAATTCCAATGGGGTGTGAATATGCAGTTCTTAACTCAATATTCAATTCATAGGTTTTATTTGGTTGGGTCGGATGCTGCCCTGGTGTTTGGTTTGCCCCTTGGTGTCGGAATGTGTATTCTTGAATGAAAATTCATCCACTGGGGAGAATCGACCGGCAAATTTTTTTTTTTCCTTAAAGGTTTGGGTGGGGCAAATTCATTTCCATTCCCGGTTTTATGCTGGGACTAAATGCCCCTAACAACTAAACAAGACAACCCATTTATCTCCCGGTTTCACTCACACATGCCACCGATCTGCACACAGTCACTCATCCACACACTCACGCCATTTGTTGTTGTTGAACAAATTGATGTTGCCGTTCAATTGTTTTGCTGTTCAATTGTGGAGTTTCCAAAGAGGAGAGTAGAATAAAGATGGGAAATGCTATTTGGACTTAAAGGACTCGTTTGATAGACGTATTATGAGAGGATTAAATATTAGATTGTACTATTTTTTATTTCATTGGTCCTAATATTTTGTTTGGTAATTAAATTTGGTAACGTACTAATTTCAAAAACGTATATTGATTGTATACTTATCGTATATTGTTTATACGATAAATTTATATTATGAAAGTATTTAAATACCACTAAGAGAAGTGGTATTATAATTCAATTTAAACGTATTATTCTCCACATTTATTATTATAACCCTACAGTTGATAAAATCAAGCTGTCATCAATGTAACAAACACTGATTGAGGTTATTTTTGTTAATTCAACATTAATACGAAGAAATAATTTCCTAACCAAGTAACCGATTGTATTAAATAACTACTATTCAATGTTTATGTTGTATATTATCAAACACTAGATAAAATTACGTATTATTCTAATATCCTATTTAATTTTTAATTTTATCCATCTGTATTATATTAGACTGTGTTACTTTATCCAATCCAACCATTTTTAATACGGCAACCAAACGAGTCCAAAATGTAAACTTGATCAATCACATCCATTGAATAGGTAGTAGGCCTTAATAAATGTTGGGACCTACAATAAAATCAATGACAGTTATTGATCAAGTCTATATTTTAAGTTCATGTAGCATTGCTCAATAAAGATTGATAAACCTGCAGAAAAAAAAAACTTAAATTGATTAAATTGCGGAATTTTTGAATTGAAGTATCAAGTGTTGCTCAAGAATAGAACAGGCATACAAATTGAAGTAATTTCTCAACAAATTGGTGTTGCATTGCTGATGAAATTGAAGGGGAGAACCGGAGAAAATTCTGCCTAGTTGTTGTTGAATGGTATACTTTTGATGAATTGAGCTTCTAAAAATGTCCGAGTTGTCAAGGGAAAAATTGCTGAAAAATTTGTTGGACTGAGTTGTTGTTAACTATTGATGAACCTGATATTATTGTTTACACGAGTTTGATTGTGTTGGATTAGCAGGTGTTTGGCTCTTGCATTGTCATCTGGAAGTACAAATGTAAGTCGGGGACTTGGCTTTTTTGGTGGAAGATGGTAAAGGCCCAGATGAGTCACTTTTACAAGGATTTAGCTCTGCTCAAGCACATACAACTAAACTTGGCAGCTTAGTAATATTTTGCACTTCATTTTGCTTGTATTTTGGGTTCCAACTTATAGAAGTATGGTACTAGTACTATAATTCTAAGATTGAAGGATTGTAACCAGTACATGTGGCTGATACATGGGATTCGATGATTCATTTTGTCATGCTTCCTATTGGAATAATTGTTTTTGAGTTCACCTGCATAAGTGTTTCATGACTGCTTGAAATATTCATTTTACTGGGTTTGCTTGATACTTATCATGATGTAGTCTAGGTCACAGAATTCCTATATAGGGTGTCCATTCGTGCTCTGTCATATCATCTTTGTGTAATTATTTTTGAATCTTGTCCTTCTTATATGTATCGTGTTCATGTAAATACCCAGAAAAAAATAAAAAAAAATTGATTTGTTTCAAGTATCTAACACCAATCTAGCCCATCTATTATCTACATTTATTAATTGTGTCAAATTTAGAGTTGTGAAGGATTAATACCAAACATTTCGAATTTTGTTTATTTCTTATGGTAACTTAACCTTAGTGTTGTAACCTTGCTCCATTTACTTAATAAGTTATAGCTTTACCTTAATAGGTAGTAACTCCATTTGATTATAAAGTTATTCTTCTAATGACAACTTTATATATACTAATTAATGCATATCTATTTTTGCATGTGAATTATTGCGAATTATAATTTTTATTTTAAAATTTTATTTAATTTTCAAATCGACAAAAGAAGTTCGAGATAAAGTCTAACCTATTGATAGAATGTGTCATCAATATATATTCCAAATTTTATTTCTCTATGTAAATATAAAGAAATAATCTTCTAGTTGGTGCACAAATACACGGTACATGAATCTTTTCTACATATACTTCAAATTATATGCTCACCAACAACCCAAAAATATAAAATAATATAGTAGGAAAAGTATTATTTCTATCAAATTTGAGAACCTAATCAATTACAACTATTACATTAAAAGTAAATTGTATCTAATATTTGAATTTACAACTAATTCAATAGATGTAATGAATTAAGTCCCTAATAAAATCTCCACATTAGATCATGTAGCATTGCTCATTGAATAAATAATAGTAATTTCAATTGGAAAATATGAAAAGGTTTAGAATAACACTTTGGTAGATGGTAACAAAGATGATAAATCTTAGATTTTATTTAATTACTAATTCTTCATGCATTGACATTTTTAAAAAAACATAATATATTCCACGACACATGCATAAATATAGTAAACAAACATTCAACACTAACACAATAGAACATTGTAATCCACAAAAACCCACTTCCTATCCTTCTATGTAAGAAACAAGAACCCACTTTTGTACAATTAAAAAAGTCATAAAACATATAGAGAATCAAGTTGCTATATAGAAGAAGGAATCAAGGGACCATTGAATAAGAAATGATGGAAGTCCTTAAGGAAAAGTTATTCTAGTGGTCTAAAGGTTTTTTTCATTAGCTCAACCAGTTCATACTATGCACCATTGTCATTGAAGAGGAAAAAAATGAAAAGTTTAATTAAGAGCAATGCTTTTGGTATCTAAAAACGAACGTAGATTGATGACATAATGATGTGTCGAGTGATGAAATTCTAATAGACAAGTCTAATAGCTATAGTCACAATAACACAATTAAACTATGTCACTGTCACATTAAATCAGCAAATTAGGTTAATATTTTAGGTTCCAATATTACTACTTGATGACATTATGTAAATTATTCAAGGTTATTATTGAAAACCAGACCCTTTTCTCATCAGCTAATCTTCTAGAATAAAAATGTCTTAATACTATTGTTTGAGGGTAAAAAGGAAAACAAATCGCGATTAATACTATTGTCTTAATACTATTTTTTTTAAATGGGGACTAAAGCAATAATCGCGACAAGGTGTCACACTTGATTCGGGATCACCAACAGAATCATAATAGAGAATCTTAACTTATTAGAAACTCTTTTATAAATAGTGTTC